TGCACAGTTTTGAAAAGACTGTAATTGCATTGGTTCCTTTTTGCTAAATGCGATGCATATCGTATCTTGATTTCCGCATGACTCCCGAAAAGCACGTATTTAAATGTAAGATAGGGCTCACGAGGAACTTGAGATACGCCCTTACGTCAGAGGGGCGACGATATGTTCTCACTCCCAAATATTTTAGCCCTGGGCTGATCGGCTGACTGTAAAATTTTGATGAGAGAATCTGCATTTTAAAGGTCTCATGTATACATATACTATATCTATGGTCTGTTATTTAAAGACCTGGAAGTGACTGCACCGTAAACTTTGTCAAAATCACACATTTCGTAGCATTTAAATTACTAATCCGTCAGCAACCGCAAATCTAATCGTTTTGTTCTCATATTTTCATATGCCACTCTGTAACTAAGCAACCACCGGAGCAGAAAATGACACATTAACTTGTAGATAGTTTATTCGAAAAGGGAACGTTAAGCGTGTTTTCAGAATTGAATTCATGTGAGTTGATAAAGCCTCCGAGACAGAAAATTCGTTTACGGCTGAAGAATGTCGTGCAGTTTCTCTTTGTCTCGTAACAGGACCTGCCTCCATGAATGCTCAGAACACATCCATTGCCAACTCCAATTTCGAAAACTTTCTCACCGTTTTCTTTTGTGTTTATTTTTTACCGAGCTCCGTTTTGCACGTGTAGCAACCGCATTAGCTTTAGGTTGGTAGTAATTGGGAGAGAACAATCCAGTGTTGTTCGTTTTAATTTTTGTTGGTTTTTTCACAGAATTTTCTCCGATATTTGGAGTCCAAGACGAGACGAGGACAAAAGTCTTGGACGTTTTTTTCTTCTTCTCCTCCTTTTTTTCTTTTTTTTCTCTCTAAATATTAAAAGTTGGAAAAACAGTCGAAGAGTCACGTGAAAAAATCCTGGATTCCGATTGATGAAAGTTATTATGCATCTGAACTAATCAAAATGTTCGGAGGACCGCGAAAATCCATTGATATATTTAGGGAAGTCATTACTTTATATCATGAAGGAGTGGATACTCCTTTCATTCTCCTGACTTCAATAGACAATCGTAAAAGGTACCCTCTATAATTATAATTCGTACTTGTGACAAAAAAAAGTAAAGAAAAACCTTAAAGATTTTAAGCTTAGAGGATATTTAGCTTTTCAGAGAGAATGATTCTGAACGCTTACAGGCACCTCGCTGTAGAAAATTATCAACGCTGCCTCCCTCTCTACTTACACAAATAACATCGGAAACTCAAGATACGATGGTATGGCGCATTATTACGTCCTCTAAGATTGGAAGAAAAAGGCAAATCAAAAGAACCTGTTATAATATTTAACCTCCTGGTGCAAACTGGAATCAAGTGCCATTTGTGCAGAAATTATAAGGTGCGAAGAGTCAGAAGATAGGAGGCTCGTTATGAAAAAGAAAGTAGAGTCAACCGAGTGCAGGATTGACAGATCTCAGTTTCTTTCCAATATTTTTTACTGTAGTGAGAGTAAACTGTAGTTTTAGTGATCGTAATTTCATTGAAATTGAACTAAATTTGAACAATTTATCAACCCGAAATTCATGCAATAAAATATCAAGATAATATACTAATGTATTTTATCTGTGCAGAACCTCTTTGGGAAGTTCTACCTCGTTTGTCTAATCAATCACCACCACTAGTGGACACCGTTGCTACCAGATTCGGCCAATCAGATCCGTTGGTTTTCGATGGATCGAACCTTTTTTAGAGCCACCTCTCGAGGCGGTACCAAAATCACGCACCACCGTTGCGATTTGTTAGTCACCGAATTGGAAGTTCCGAACTAAAATAAAATGGCAGCTGGGAGGTTTGGGCGCAAAAGCAGGACCGAGCCTCTAAATAAAATTTCCTTCAATTCTCCCTCTTCAAATTTCCTCCTAACCCCATCCGACATATAAAAAGAGCCCTACAACCTGAGCACGGCAGGCAAGACTGGATGGTCCAATTTTACTTTCACATAGCCAGCCATGAACATAAATATTCCCCGATTAGAAACGGAATATTCGTATAATAAATGCAAGAATTCATAAAGGTTCGAATAGGCTCACCCGGCAATGCTCCGGAGCGCGGGCCCATTGGCTCGTGAAAGGGATGCGAACCCGGAAGCAGCGTCGCGTCGAGCCGCGATAACGCCCCGAAGCGGTGCAATCTTCGGACTACAATTGCAAAACGGTGGCTTAGCCCGGATCGGCGCACCAATTGTCATTAAGTTGCCCCGTAAATAAACCCTATCAGATGGCGTTAGGAACTCGGCGCTCTTTCTAACGGTCATTTTATGATCCTCGGTGGGGTGCGCTGCGGTGGCGTGGCGCGCTCTGCGATACATCGATTGATCTCCCATTTAAACCTACGGAAAAGGATCGATCCCTTAATAATCGATTCTTTACCATAGCTTCAAATGGGGAAAAATCGAGCTATATTCATGCTTCGCCACCGGTGCGCTGCGCCCGTACCGACTGCGCCGATAAGACCACCCCACATTTAAATCGCCGCTCCCCTGACGTAATGGCATAACCGTGCTCATAGTCGAGCCTAAATGTCCATGAAAATACATGTTTTCCAGAGCTCATGTGGAGATGTAATTACGCTCTTACGTGGCGATTTAAATTGGGTCCGGACTTCATTATCAAGGCGACCACAGCCGCAAAAAGGCACCGAAATGCGATCCCAAACTCGACCGTGCTCAGCGAGAACAACGTATGAACACTCTTGCGTTGCTAAATTTCTCAGGTTAAAATACAAATTTCCTGCAAGACTCTGTGCGTTTTCTTCTTCAAATTTTCCGGGGAGCCCTCAACGCATTTTAATCTAGAGTAACTGAGAATTTTATAGAAAAATACTCATGACATTTTTACTCTAAAATATATAGTTTATCTAGAAAGAATTGGCAACATACGAATGTTCATATGATGTTTTCCCGTAAAACGCTGAAACTTACGTGTGTATTCGTATCGGACACGCTTTTTGATTTACATTCCCGCGCGCCTGGCTGCTTGCACCCGAGTTTTCATTTCAGGTAGCTGATTAACTTTTAAACGCCGTGGGAAATGGGAAAAAATGGATTTTGCTCCCCGCTTTGAGCCGAGAGATATGGAGAGAAAGGTATTGTAAATTCGCATTTTGTTCTCTTTTTTCCCGCCGTAACTTTATGGAGAGCGTTGTAAAATTAACGAACTGGTGGCATTCAGCAAAAAGTAATCAGAGTTACGGAGGAATAATGATTTTGCCTGTTTTAAAGCACAGAGGGTGAAATTTAACGTTAATTTCACGTTCTCGGAATCCTACTAACTTTAAACTTAACTTACAATGAGATTGCCTATTTCACGACAACTCTGATTACCTTTATCGGAATGTAGTACATGTACGATTTCATACATAACCGACATTTTCATAGGGGTAATTCACTCATGATTTTTCTTATATTTAGTTGTCAAAATGTTTATAATTATGTTATGTGCACACTGCACACACACCTCAATCTTTCTAAACTGTACCTTAAAACATTTATAAAATGAGATCTTCTTTTGAAGGCAGATGTTCTGTACTAAGGCAATAAGACTTACGATTCTTTCGTAATATGACCAGTGGAAATGTAGTGGACTCAATCTCTGGAAATACAAATAAACCCAGCTTTGTTGGGTAGCATTAGAAAGTTTGTTTTGTTAAAGCTTTACAAAAAGTAGTCAACTAACTTGGTTGATATCTATGGAAAAATGATATCTTGTTTTTACATTTTTATATTGGCTTCAAAATTGTTTTGATGCGTGTATATTATAATTCAGTGGTCATAAAAGGTTTTTTCTTATGCCTCCCTTTACAAAAGTAGGTTCAACATAACAGCTGGATATAAAAATTTATGTTCCAAAAGAACAAAAATGAAAATATTAAAATATTCCTTGAAAAAATTCGCAATTAATGGCTGTCACATTTAAACATCTCTTTTTTTATATTGAGACAAAACGTCCTGAGAGTTTACCATTTTAGTTTAGAGAGTTTACCAAATCTAGGAAATTAAATTTTATGAACATTTTAATTCGGTTATTTGAATTGAGAAGCCTTTTATCTCGCTGGACCTCCTCTAAGAACTCTCTTCATTATTCTTACAAGGCGTTAAAAAGTATACGAGTGACAATGCCGCGCTCAAAGTGGGACCACCTTTTTATTTCTGAAGGATCCGTAAGGAACAGCAAACACGTGCAAGGACACGGCAATAAAGATGCGGACACCCTCATTCCGAGACACGCTTCCTCAGTAGCTCTTGTAATTAAGAACGTAAACTTTCGACACGAAACGCAAGCCTTTTTCTCGGGCGCTTCCGTCTCGAAAGACACATAACCTATAAACTCCTGCGAAATGGAGGGATTTAATTAGATTCAATCTCATTTCATTTCATCCCTGGTTTTATTGCCCCCTTTCCTTTTGTACTGAATTTAGACGCGGGCTGTTTCCTGGAAGCCTCGAGTCCTGTTTGAAGTAAGCAGGGATTCTGAAAGTGAGCCTGTAACTTGCATTTTTTTTTCCAGCGAAGGCTCTTCCAAGAACACGAACAATCGCTCTTTTAACAGCTTTTAATTTCCTTTCGCAATGAGCAAAAGTTCACGTTCCCTGAGAAGTGTAACATTACACAAAGACGCGAATTGTAAGCGCAATTAGAAGGACATCGGAGAACTTACGAGGAAATCAATAATCGAAAGCTCTTGTCCTCTTAAAGCTTTCTTATTACTTCTCAGTTCATATGAGTGCTATTTATAGGGGCTCTCAGTTCTTCTTCAAAGTTTTCTTGTTCTTATTTCAACATTTGTCCCCCTTTTATTTGTTTTTATTGAGAAAGATAGAAAAAATACATATGTGACTGCCCACATTTTTATGAACCATAAATTGTGATAACCTAACGAATTAAAAGATTGATCATGGCGATAATGTAACAGAAGACACTTCATAGGGTTAAAACTCATTTACTCTGATATTAGTGATGGTGCTACAAGATTGTGTGACGCGTCCTGCTTCTCCGACGTTAAAATACGATGAATATATACAAACTAATGAAAACTGTATCAATTTTTTCTTTCGTTATCTTGGTAAATACTTAAAATTATCTGTTTGATTTCTAATAGAATGGCATGTCAATCATATTTTCTACCAAAAAAAAGTTGCATTTTACAAAAAGTTGCATTCAAGATGTAATATCTCTCGTCGATGCAATCATTTCTTATTAGTTTCAAACTAATATTTCTCTCATAATCCAAAAATGAAAGTAAAATGTTTCAGGGAAAAGATCTGTTAATTTTAACAAATTATTTTAGATAAATTGAATATTTTTGGTGAAGTCATAGAAAGTGTCTTAAAAATTAAAAGAAAAAACGATTTTACAAAGTCTAGAAATTAGCACCGTTAAAGTCAAATTATGAAACTGATCAAAAACTTTGTCCTTATGTTAACAGAATTTCATTACATATATGCATATTGGTATGGTTCATGATTCGATTATTTTCATTCACAAAGCATATTTTCGTTAAATGAGCATGATTTATAAATAGGGTGCTTCATTCTTTCCTCATAATGATAGGCAAGATTTGTCTACTATGTTGGCGCGTATACGTAGTATACCGCCTTTGCGATCGTTTCGAACCCTGCTCGATACAATAACCGAGTCCCTTAGTTCCTTACCGAAAAGTGACTACCGCGAACTTCTGAGATTTTCCAAAGCGTGTAAAAAGTTTATTTATCCGTCAATAATTATGATTTAAAGTTGTTTCTCATTCTGGGG